TTTTTTTTAAAGTGGATTTACTGACTTGCTTCAAGACAATACCTACCAGAAACCTTCTAATATTCATACCCCAAGCTTCTGAAGTGGGAGTATTTATGGCGAAGACTATAGCAAAAATGCCACATAAGAAACAAAGAAAAAAAACTCCTCCCAAAATTATATCACTATAAACTTCTATGTACACATTAAAAAAAAATATATCACACCTTACCTGCTGCTAGCCGATCAGTATCCTGCCCCCAACATATAGAACAGACTCCCGCCAAAAACATGCCTGTGCCTTTAAAAAGCCTGGTAAAGAAGCCGGCCGGCCACAGCATCATATCGCCAAGGAAACCCAAACCTCCTGGTTCCCGGCGGAAGTGACATCAGAGCTGCACAGCGGCCATTAGAGATTGGCAAGCACCGCACAAAGGAAGCTAGAGCTGCTGGGATCCCTCTTTCCTCAAAGAGAGACAGAGGGAGGGGGTGACCCGCAGGCATTAGCACAGCAGCATCCAGATCCCCACAGAGGGGGAAAAAAAAAAAGGGCAACAGAGGAGGAACTATTGAGGGACACTTCAAGGAGTCAGGGGGGAAAAAAAAGTAGTCTACCCCAACCCCCCCCCGCAGAGAGGTTGAACCATGGAGGGATGGTTAGGGAACATTGAGGAGCCGTCCAGAGTGAAGAGTAAAAAAAACAAAAAACAAAAACTGGAGGTAGCTCTTGAAAATTATGATCGAGCCAACCTTCATAATTTTTGAACAGTCAGTTCTTTTGGTCTTGAGCAGCTCTTTCAAAACACCCCAACAGGAGTAGATTGCCAAGGTAGCTCTAGCTCCTCTGTCACGTAGTAAGCCAAAATGGACAGGAGCACCTTAGAGAAAGTCCTGGGAGAGGTGGACAGGCTGAAGGGTAATGCTACAAACTGGTAACTGACCCAAACAGTATATAACACCACGCCAACGGTTTGAGTCCAGGAAAGGAGACAGTCTGCAGTGATCGTGATATAAGATGCTAACAATGCAGCTCTCAATAGGTTTTAGGGAAACCTCAACACTGCAAAAAACACAGGAGCGCCTCTGTTCGTCCTCCCTGATGGTTTACACGTTTGAGGTCACGCCTCCTTCGTCAGAAACGCGTAAACCATCAGGGAGGACGAACAGCCGGCTGGCTAAGTCCCTCGTGTTCATATCATTTCATGCCTGTTTAACTCCACTTTTGTGAGTATTATTGCACTTGTTTAAATATATTTTAATAAAAAGTTTTTACGCGATGGAGGCGCTCCGTTTTGTTTTTGGTAATGGACCCCTGCAACCGCAAAGTGAAGGTACTGAAATTCCACTCCTATTGGAACTTGCAGATAGGCATCTATCTATCAAGTCTATGGACAACTGCCAGTCCCCTGGCATCACTGCTTGTGTTATTGTCTGGACGACTAAATCTTTAAATGCTTCTTTGATAAGCACCTCAAATAGTTAACAGCTCACCGGCCTGCAATCACCAAGCTTCTTTAACAAAAAAAGAATGACCCCCCTTGAGTACAAGAGTGTCTGAATTGCATGGAAATCTTTTCTACATCAAGCTGGTTGTAGCTGCAAGACTATATAAATGTATCTACTCTTATATTAAATATTGCCTCTGGATTCGATTTCCAGTTTTAGTAATAACTCTGAAAGTAGTAATTTAAGAAAAATTAGGACAATTAGTGTAATAGTGAAGGCTGTGCAGGATCTATAATGGGTCTTTGCTGACGTCTATGGTGGGGTCTTAGGAGGGCTGTGCGGTCTCGCAGGTGCGGACATGGATCCTCAGGAAGATTTGCTGCCAGCGATGTCAGACGCCGCGATTCACAGGAAGGCTGCCGGTACCCCTGCTGGGGACCTCGACAGCCTTCCTGTGAAGCCTGGCACCTGTTTACAGCACCAACTTAAAGCTGCAGGAGAGGTGGGAGGACCAGCTGAAATGGCCTGGTGGGCCTTGTGTGACATGTGTATTGGGTATTGTATATTTGGATAACCTTATATTAGAATTACATTCACGATATATCCCCCAACTTACTGCCCTGGTGACAGTTTTACCCGACAGGAAGCAAAATTCTCCAAGACTATATCGATCTCATCTTTTGTTGTTGGAACGCTAGAACCGATGTCAACCTTTCATGGCCATTCGTGTCAGTCTGGTGAAACTATCATGTGTGGTAAGGGGGGGGTGAAAACATTTTTTTTATAAGAACCTGACAAGATGTTTCAGGCTAAACAAAAAAAACAAAAAATACACTTTCCTTCATTTCAGAGTAATAGTGTCCATGTCCTCAGTCCACCTGTAAGACTAATTACATCATGTGAGCACTGGGAGATATGGATTAGGATCAGGAAGAGGAATCCAGAACTAGAATTTAAAGTATTACATGTGGGCTACAGTAGGTGCTTTCCCCTCCATTATACCATACAGTATGAATCATACCTTAGATACAACACTATAAAGAACAAAGTGTTATAGCCACTAACCAGTCATTTTGGTTGGTGACAAAAAGCTGAGTAACGGCCAGAAAAAAGAAAAAAAAAAAAAAACTCAACCAACTTAAGTTGTATTTGCTAACGATTTATTTTACTTCTATTACACGAGTTTGGACAAATGAAATTTTTAATATCCATAGGATTAATAGTCCTATGGAGTATAGCAAGAAAGTGCTAGAATATTAAAAAACAAAAATAGAACATTTGATCACTTTTCACAAAACAAACAAAGCACACAAGATATTGTAAAAAATATTGCACGTTTCAAAGTGTTCCACCGCTCTAGCTGGCTTGGACAAAGATGTATTGCTTGAATTACCATGGAAGCCAATTTAATTCCCTTAATGTTGAAGGGAACTGGAGTACGTTATGGCATTATGTAAATACTAGCACAGAGGACTGCAAAACATACAAAAACATGAGCTAGTTTCAGGAAGGCAAAGCAGACAATTGTTTGAGGTTTGAATGTACATTGCATACTACAAGAACTTTTATAAAAGGTATCCACACCAGACAAAAAAAACAAACAAAAAAAAAAACCACTCGAGTGCTTTTGTATTTTAAAATCTGATTTCAACACCTTGCAATCCAGGATCTATATATGGCTCCAGGTATATGAGGCACACAAGTCACTAAACATAAAATGCAAGTTGACCAAAGTGAGATCAGAAATATAGGAGCTGCCATTCATGACTTGTTAAAGTGCGAGCTGGGGGCTTTTATTCTTAGCTACAGGCTTAACTACCAGGCAAATTACTGACCTGTAAAAATATGCAGGTCAGTTGGTCCTGACACTTCATGTTGATTTACAAGTGATCAGTGACAGTTTCTAAATTTCATCCAGACAGTCCTTTTAACACCTTGCACATCTTAGACATTTTTTTTTAAATGGACATTTAGCAAAGTAGCCAAGTGTGATTTATGATTTTATGCAAGCAGCCATTTAAGAGTGGGAAGGCAGCTGAAATGCAGACTGCAATGCCATTCAATGAATTAAGAGAAGAGAACCCCAAACTGTAGAAAAACTAATATAACATATTTCAGTTTCCAATTTATGGGAGCAGATTGACTCAATTACTAGCTTCCTGTGCAGGACTCAGATTTTTCCTGCATTGTTTTCCTCTATAAAACATACTCCTTGTACTGAAAAAACGAATTTTTCAGAGATACAGTGGGTGATTCATACCTTAACAAATAAAATAAGTTCAAATAAGCCCCTGCAATGATTATAAAGGGATTTGTTTTTTATTCCTTGCATTTTAGGTTTAGGACCCTTCCCTGTCCTCAGCAACAATTTACGTCTTAGGGCCGATTCACACCGTTGCGTTTTTGAGCTGCATCAAAAACGCACAATGATCTCCAATGGGATTCTGTTCACACCAGACTTGTCCATTCCGATGCAGCCAGAAGTACTGCTTCCACTATTTTAGCTGCACCAGAACGCATCAAAACGCGGCATAAGGCATCGCAATGGCTAAAATGCATGCATTTTCAATGCAGTTTTGGTGTGAACTAGGCCTTAAAGATCACAAAAAAAAAAAAAAACAATTGTATTCTCATAACCGTATGTGGCAAACATACGTAAAAAAAAAAAGGGAATAGCTGGTATTTCAATTTCTCTTTTTTTTTTAACCTCTATTTATAGATGCATTTTCCCACATTCCCATGAAGATGAACTTAACTTGGGAAAGCAACAGCTTCAGTATTTGGGACAACCTATAACACTTTCAGGTGCACACTCAAGTCACCTTTAATTCCCACGGTTTAAATCCTTTAAACAAAAACTATTGCTGCATTTGTTCAAGCCCCCCTTGGCAGTGTCAGTTTGTCCCAATACCTGTCACTATCACTTTGTGACTGTGAAATAAAGCCTTATGCTAAATATATGAATTAGTTGCATAGAATTACCAGAATGCATTTTTTTTAAATTTGCAATAATGATGCTTTAAATTGAAGTCTGGCACAGTTGCAGTTCTTCTAGGCCCTTAAGCTATATAAACAGCAACATATGCTAAAAATCATCAACTACACAAATCAAGCCTGGCAACTCTTCCCAAAGCAATACCACTGAGAGCCATAACATTAATAGATTCACTTGTTTTGATATGAGAAAATACCAAATGGAGCAACTGTAGTTTACATTTTAGGAGCATGACAATATAGAAAAATTAAGCAGCATTAACCTCCTCTGCACTGGCCCTTTCAGGAATGAAAAAAAGAAAATCAGGCAGAGTGGAGAAGAAACAAAAGCTACTGGAACATACTAAACAATGCCACAAAATTCTGTTAAAGTGAGGAAATGTTACAACCAGGTTAGTCATTTACAACTTCACATAGTTTCTCTGAATTCCTAAAATAAATTATCTCTATGGCAATGGAATTCTATAGCACCCCATTACACAATGTCTTCTGTATATTACTGTGCATGCGCTAGGTCAATTTCCTGCTATTTGCTGTATGTTCCGTTGAACTGCATGTTGGAGTACTGTTACAGTGTAAAATAAAGCTTTTATTTGTTAGTTCCTAGGCTTTTGCGCAGCTTTGTAGAAATTCGAGCTTCTGCTGATCACTGCCCTGAACAATCTGTGTAGGTTGTGACCATGTTTCCTCTTCGTTGAGTGACAGTTCTACAATGCTTGCTGGACCCCTGAAATCTTTGCTCAGTTCTTACATTGGGTCTTGGTACATCCCCAAAGCTGCCAAATGTAAACATTTTCTCCATATCTTCAAACATGTCATTAAATAAACCTCTGCCGAATGCAAAGTCATCAAAGTGACGCCTGTGCCTGTTAGATGGATCCTGGTGGCTCCTAAAATGGTGGTTTTCAAAGTGTCTTTTTGATCGAGTGTGCTGACTCTCACCAAAAAAGTCAAATTCTTTGAGGAGGTCTTCAAAATTAAAATGCTGATGGAAATATTTTTCGTTGCCTCCTCCTCCTCTTCCACTATTTGTAAAGGCATCATGGCCAAACTGGTCATATTCCTTCCGTTTATTTTCATCCGAAAGGGTCTCGTATGCTGAAATGCAAAAATACAATTCCTTGTAAATTAAGGTAAATGTTACATAGTTACATAGTATTTGAGGTTGAATAAAGACATCAGTCCATCAAGTCCAACCTATTAGGATCTCATTCTAGGAGTACCTGTACCACTGTATATTGCGGTCCCTTAAGAAATCGTCCAAAAGTTTCTTGCACAATTCCACATTATTTGCTGAAATCACCACCTGTGGCAGTGAGTTCCAGACCCTAACTGATCTTACTGCTGGAATTTTTTTTTCCACCAATTTTAGGTGGTGGCCTCTAGTTTTTGTAATGGAGTTAATTTTAAACAGTTTATCGCTAATGTTGCTACCACCATTGAACATTTTGTACATGGAGATCATATCCCCCCTTAATCTCCTCACCTCCAATGTGAACATGTTTAAATTTAGTAGCCTTGTCTCGTAGCTCTGGTCCTCCATACCCCTAATTAGTTTGGTTGCCCTC